ATTAGATTTTCAAAAATGAAAGCTTTTTGTGAAACTCAAATAAATATCACAAATAGACTAATCAAGAAAGAAAGACACACAATATATCCTGGTTCACTTGGAAACTATCAAGATGATCCAGTCCACCCGCCAAGGTGATTTCGCGTTATATATAAGGACTTAATCCGTTATAATCAACAGATTATAATGCACTAGCAACTGCTGGTGACTAACAACACAGACAACCGTCCCTTCTTAAAGATTCTGACCCAACTGGTCCCTTAAGGAATTACAATCTGCACAAGCAACCGCTGACGACTGACAATACAGACAACCATCTCTTCTTAAGGATTCAAACCTAAAGAGTTACAAACAACAGTTTGAACAAAGATGTTTACAATGAAATTGCTTCTAAACAAGCAGACATAAACACTATTATAGCTAAAATGTCTTAAAGACACTAATACAGTATGGACAATATTCTTCTTTGTATTGTGGTGCTTCAATACTGTAGCTTCAGTTCTTCATGGATTTCTTTCAACCAAATTGCAACCTTTGCATTAATCGTTGTAAAGCTTCTTAATTTCTTCAAGTAATTAAGTCCTTATATAGCCAAAACAAGATCCGTTGGAAGGCAGATCAGAAATATCCTTTAGTTAGCTGGCGACTTGAAATAATGTCGTTATACAGGGATGAAAATCGTACACAAAAATTGTCCTTTGTACAACCAAATCAGGGTAGTGGAATGGTAGTAGATTGAGACGTTAAAAACGTACTATGTACTATTTTTCCTCGTAGACGTTTGAGCTTCTCATCTTTACATCAGAGGCTTCTTAACAGAGATGATTGAAGCATGAGTAGAAGAATTAATCAGTAGGTCTTCAGAGTCTTCAGAACTTGTTCACCAGAACCTTGTCATCATAACTATAAGCAGTCAGTCTTTCAAAACCTTTGGTTACTTGTAACTTAAGTCTTTAGAGTATCCAGGACGACGTTCAGCAGAACTTTGTCTTCAGAGTCTTCAGCGCTTATTCTTCAGAAACTCAAGTCTTCAGAGTCTTCAGAACTTTGTTCAACAGAACCTTATCTTTAGAGTCTTCAGCACTTAGTCTTCAGAAGATAATGACTTTAGAAGCTTGAAAGTCTTCAGAAGTAAAGTATCAGAGTCATGATCAGAAGAAGAAACCAAGAGAACATTGCAGCAAAAACATATTGTCTTCTTAGAATCTTTCTGAATGAGAGTAGATAAGAAGCAGACTTGCTTCTTCCAGCATATAATCTACTTTGGTCATATCAGAGTAATCATTGAATATGATCTCTACCAGAATCAGAGTTTTCTCTATCAGAGTCAGAACCTGTTTGTTAATTCTTTAGAAAAACAAACGTTAGAGTACCAAAATTGTTCTCACACAAATACCACTTTGTTATTATCAAAAATTAGAGATATCTTACATAACCAAATTTTTTTCTAACACCTACCTCCCCACCCCAAACTTCACCCCAAGATCCTCCCACTTTCCCACCTTTTCCTGCTGCCCACACCAACCCTTCCATCCCTACTCCACCACCACAACAATAACAGAAATGTCTTAGAACTATCAAGAAATCTTCTTACCAGTCTAATTACCACTAAAACCTTCTTACCTGTCTAATTACCACTGAAATATCCTCAATCATCCCACAACTTCCCTATCCACCACTTCCAAATTTCCTCTCGCGTCTGTTTTAAACTACAACCACTGCAACTCCAAATACAAACACTTCTGCCTTTCCATTTCTTCCAACAAGGAACCAACTTCCTACACCCAAGTCTGTAAGCAGGACTGCTGGCTGCAGGCTATGCAATCAAAATATCAGGCACTTGAGGAAAACAATACCTGGACCGTAGTTGACTTCCCCCTAACAAAACTCTAATTGGTTGCAAATGGGTTTACCGTATCAAATATCTCGCTAACGGTTTTATTGACAGGTATAAAGCATATCTTGTTGCAAAAGAATATACAAAACACGAAACTGTCGACTTTTCGACACATTCTCTCCTATTGCTAAGTTAACAACTGTAAGAACTCTTTTATCCTTGGCCTTTATTAAACATTGGCATCTAGAACAACTAATTGTCAATAACGCCTTTCTTCACGACGACTTACACGAGGAAGTCTACATGATGATTCCTCAAGGCTACACTACTGTTTTTTCATCACACCATACCAAAGTCTGCAAGTTAAACAAAATCTTATATGGCCTCAAACAGGCCAGCAGAAAGTGGTATTCTAAGTTATCCAACACTTTGCTATCGTTAGGTTATCACCACTGTCATGCTGATTATTCGGTTATTATTAAACATGTTCCTACTAGAGGTGGCAATTGAATCCATTAAGGCAAAATCCATCCAATCCATCCATCAAAAAATTCATCCAATCCATCCACCACACAAAAAATAAGTTAATGGATTGGATTAAATCCATCCATTTATATGCATGGATGGATTCAATCCATCCAACATATTTTAAGGATCCAATGGATTATTTTTATTTTCGTTAGATTTATTTTTTTTTAAATAGATTTTTTGAAAATAATTAAAAAACTATTTTTTTTTCTGAAAAAAAAAAGTTTAATTTTTTTTGAAGAAAAAAATCTGTTTTTTTATTTTCGAAAAAAATCGATTTTTTTTTCCGAAAAAATCGGTTTTTTTTTCAGAATCAAAAACTGATTTGTTTTTCGAAAAATAAAATAAAATTTTTTCTCGAAAAAAAATCCGACTTTTTTTTTGGGAAAAAAAATCGGTTTTTTTTCAGAATAAAAAACTGATTTGTTTTTCGAAAAAAAATAAAATTTTTTCGCGAAAAAAAACCGAATTTTTTTTTGGAAAAAAACTTGATTTTTTTTCAGAATAAAAAACTGATTTGTTTTTCGAAAAAAAAACCGACTTTTTTTTTCCGAAAAAAATCGGTTTTTTTTCAGAATAAAAAACTGATTTGTTTTTCGAAAAATAAAATAAAATTTTTTCTCGAAAAAAAAACCGACTTTTTTTTTTGGCAAAAAAACGATATTTTTCAAAAATTAAAATATCAATTTTTTTTTTAAAATACAAAAAATTCAATTTTTTTAATAAATATATTAAAAAATAATTTTTTTAAAATACAAAAAATGAATTTTTCAAAAATAAAATAAAATTAATTTTTTAAAAATAAAAAAATATATTTATTTTTACGAAATAAAAAAAAGTTGGATGGATGGATATCCATCCATTAAAATATGTTAATGGATGGATTGGATTGGATAATTTTAAGAAAATTTTAGTGGATTGTTAATGGACTAATGGATTGTTTTAATCCATCCATTAACAATTCAATCCATATTCATCCAATCCATCCATTTTGCCACCCCTAACTCCTACTAGCTTCACTACTTACTTGTATACGTAGACGGTATTGTGTTAGCAGGTGAAAATATCAATGAAATCACACATGTTAAAGCCATTCTTAATGACAAGTTTCGCATCAAGGACTTAGGTCTATTGGGCTACTTTCTTGGGCTTGAAGTGGCTCGTTCGACAACAGGTATTTTCTTGAATCAACACAACTACACACTAGACCTTTTAAATTGCACAGGTATGCTAGCTTCAAAACATTTCCCTACTCCATATAATTTATCTCTTAAATTGGTTGCTACTGATTTTGCACTTTTTAATGATCCTACACGTTATAGACGTCTCATAGGCCAATTAATTTACCTCACCACCACTCGTCCTGATATCTCTTTTGTTGTACAGTAATCGAGCCAATTCGTATCTAATCCTTCAACTAATCACTTCACAGCTGCTACTAGAATTCTTCAGTATTTAAAATCAAATCCTGCACAAGGATAATTTTATCCTGCTTCTTCTAACTTCACACTTTCTTGTTTTGCAGATAGCGATTGGGCGACTTGTCCAACCACACGAAGATCAACTAATGGCTTTGCTATTTTCTTGGGCAAATCTCTCATATCCTGGAAATCCAAAAAGCAAACTAAACTAACATCCGTATACTGTGACAACTGCTCCGCTGGCTACCTTGCACACAATCCGACCTTCCATGAAAGATCCAAACACATTGAGATCTATTGCCATCTCATACGGGAAAAACTCGAAACTGGCCTCATCAAATTATTTCATATTTCTTCATCTGCACAACTTGCTGATTTTTTAACTAAACCTCTTCCCGCACCTACATTCTCTACTTTTTTGGGCAAACTAGGCCTTTCTTCAATTTAAAGTTTAACTTGTGAGGGAGTATTACAACCGTAGATATTATTAGGATTTATTTTTGACCGTTACTATTTCACATTGTAAATATAATATAATATTCCTTCATGAACAACATCAAGTGTAATACACATTTTTCTATCCAATAATGAATTACATTGGAATTGTACAATCATGATACATATCAGTATTCAACATTCACTATTTAACTTTTTACTAAAAAAAACATCAATAAGAATAAGAATCGAATGAAAATGTAAATAAAAAACTATTCAAGAAAAGTGAACTAAACTAGTAGTTATAAATCATGAAAAATGTCATTTAAACATTCATGATTTATCATTCAAGAATGGAATAGCAGCCAACAAACAAGAAAAGAAAAAAAAAACAAACTATTACAAACAATGTCCACATCATACAACACATCCCCAAATACTCTCACTCTTTCCCTTCATAAGAAGTTTTTTGAAATATTGAACAACATAGTGGCATGTAACTTTTTCAGAATTAAAATAAAAAGTAACAATATTTAACGACAGAGAATTTGCAAGTATGAGAACACTAAGAAGTGATGAAACAATACATCCACTGTCATCACATCCCCAAATACTCTATTATCTTCTTTTGTTTTGTTTCTCTCCTGCAATCTCCACCATTGATTTCTTTTCAATACAGCTTTCTTATTTTCACTTTTTCCTTAAAAATTTCTTGGCAGTTTGATTCGAGGCATGATGGATAGCAGAATTCAATCGTGCGCTATAATAGATGCCTTTTTCTATAAGTACATTGGACCCTGCCTTCTTCTATGAGCAGAGTGAATGAAATTAACCTGTGCTCTTGGTGATGCTCGTTCCATCCGTAACAAGTCTTGTGAAATTTTTAACATAGGTCCATCTAATTCTCCATAACTACAAACATTTAAAGTAAGAGTCTTCAACAAAGGAGAATTTCCAAGTATGAACTGTATCAAACTCATTCCATGCTGAGTGCTAGCTGCAACAAAGATCTCCGCCGTCTGAAGTTTAAGGCAACAACTACGGCATTCTAACTCCTTCAAATGATCTGACACTTGTGTGGTGTCATTAAAATTGCAATCCTGAAATATAAAAATTAAAGAGTCAAAATACAACAATAAGAAACAAACTAAGTAGCATAGGCACATTCATGTTTACCTCTATAACAAGTTTAACCAAGCAAGGAGCACTTTTGAGAAGAGTGACAAAATACAAAATGTCTCCTTTATCATTCAAATTGAACTCATCCAATTTAAGATACTCTAAAGAGCTGAATGAGCTTGTTAGCAACGTGGGGGGAATGATATCTGCTAATGGGATCTATGCATACAAACAACAAATATGTGAGATGATCTGTCAAAATTCAACATCATTTCTCTTATAAATATATAAAGTAAAAGAGTAAGATAGTCTTTAAAATATTTAACAGTGAGACCAGCCGAACAATAACGAAAATACTACAACTTGTGATGTTTTCTAACCTCTCCCCAATTGGTCAGAGAAAACTTCTTAATTTGCGGCAAACTTTTGATATAAACAATTGTTCCAAGCTTAGATAGCTTCAGTGTAAAATCGATCAAATTGTTTGCTTTCTTGAGACAAATAGACTTTGTACTGTACAATTCGAGCACCAAGACTTTGAGAGAAGGAGAAGATATAACAAGATGATCACAACCAAAACGGAATCCAATGCTGAGCTTTTCAAGAATCGGACAACCAGACATAAAAGTCTCAAGTGCACTAGACTCGATTTCATCGCACTCTAAGTCAAGTTCAAGCAATTTTTTAATGCCGCGGAAATTAGATGAAATTGCCAAATTTTTACATCCGTTAAATTTGAAGTAAGTCAATTCCTTACAAGAGAAGAGAATATCTAAGAAGAGATTATCTAGCATTTGATCTTCAACAGAACCGAAACCGCAGATCACAAGCTCAAGGTGTTTAATGTCCCTTGACATAAAGGGAATCAACATATTGAATTTTTCCGTGTTGAACTCAAAACTGTTAAATAGGTCAATAGAAAACTTGTATATAGGCCCATTGTGGAGCATAAGAACATCCATAATGATATCAAAAACTACATCGTCATGAACACCCATAAGTCTTCTAAAAAAGTCGTCATCAAAACAAAGATGTGGGGCTGAAGTCCACAGATACCTCCACTTTTTTGACAAAATACTAGTGCTAACTTGGTCTCTGATTTCCAAGTTTCCTAGGATGACATCAATAACATTACTTGGTAAGTCACTGATTCGATCAATTTCATTTGTGTTGTTGTTGAGCAAAGTCATCATGACAGAACTACAGATTCTTCAAGAAAAAGTGTAAATATTATGAACAAAAGAGTAAAAGTAATTCAAGTATGCACCCTTACTCATCCAACGGTCGGTACAGTGAGAGAGTGGCTGGATAGGTCCGGTTCCAACGAGGTGGTGATTCGGAACGTTTGGGTTTCGGGTTGGGCGGATGGGTACGTTTGGGTAATTAAACAGATCTGATGATATAAGGTTTGTAACATACAAATGCTTTCGTTCAGAATAAGATAATAAATAAGAAAGACAAGATAGATACAAATGCTTCCTTTGAACGGATTTCAAATTGATATCAAATGGAACTTATAATTAGAATAAAATTAACACAGTGGAAAAGGAGAAGAAGAATGTGGTTTACTTATAATTATATTTCGTTTATATAGGCTTGGAAAAGAAATAATCCTTATCAGTTAAGTAACTAAATGACGGTGAAAAAAAAATGGTGGTGGTGGTGGTGGTACTAGCTAAACTCTAACTTACTAGCTAAGTATTTGCTTGAATCTTTTCTATTAAGCAAAGGTAAAATAAGTTTTTCATTCTTTTAAATATTGCTAATTTGGTTTTTAGTTTCTCAAAAAAAAAATTTAATGATATTCTAAAGCTCTTCATTCATACAATTCGTTTTTTTAGGTTGATATGACATATTATATGATTTTTTTTTATGATTGAACATAGTCATAGTAATGTTAAGGTGATAAAAATTATTAATATAGATATCACATGACAATTCTTTCCATTTTAAAATATTTTTATAAATAGTGTTAACATGTGCTGTTAAGGCTTATGTTAATAAACTTTCAAATAAAAATGTTGTATTAAAAAATGCAATGAAAAAAATTAGTTATCAAATTTTAATAAAATTGATGCATAATTTTTAAAAAAAAGTTTTTATATTTAACTTTTAATGTGTGTCTTTATGACACAAGTTAACATTATTCTTTTTTTTATTTATTAAAATTATAGTGATGGAAAGACTATAGCTAAATTTGTCGTCAATATAAACATCATGTTAAAAATAAATTAATAATGATTAATCATAACATACATGTTTAAGAAATTATGCGGAAATCAAACATGTATAAAATTAAAGGATCGATAAATTAATTTTAGGAATCTCTTTGACGGTAATCCTAAAAACCAGAAGTGGATGACTTTTATGATTCTTCCTTAACTGATATTTCTTATGCCTCGGATGGTGAGAAGAGATTATTTATGTGTAGTATGGTATATTGGAGACCATAGCTTATATATATATATATATATATATATATATATATATATATATATATATATATATATATATATATATATATATATATATATATATATATATATATATATATATATATATATATATATATATATATATATATATATATATATATATATATATATATATATATATATATATATATATATATATATATATATATATATATATATATATATATATATAGTGTGATGACCAATTAGGGTTCCCATTATTCACAAATTGGTCATCCTGACATTCACTAATATTTGAGTCCATACCCAATTATTTAATTAATTAATTAAATGAATAATTCATAAATAAAATCTAAATAGCCTTTTTGACATTATATGATCACTTAATTATTTAAAGGCACTTTATTGATAAAACAACTAATATAATAAATAAATATATTTGACTACATAATTATTGAAATATTAATATATTACTCTATTATTAAAATATTCCAACAATCTCCCACTTGACCAATATATCTTAATGATTATATAATAATTCTTTAGGCGCACATCTGAATGCTATTTTTCTTTAGATTTCAACTTTACAATATGTTCCACCTCATTCACAAATAATAGGATCGCCACGGCTGTCGTCACTAAAGTATAACGTGACGAAAACCCTAACGACCACCACATCAACGTACTTGATGGCATAAATCGATATGAATGAGTGACATGGAAATTTCATGCAATGTGATCTCTAAATCACGTATATTTCCAACTGGTCGTACTGGAGTCTTTAGTGAGATCAAACTGGAGTTTCTTAGGTGCAATTCAAAGTTACAATATTTGCACATAACAAAAAAAAACTTGATATTATTATAACAATAATACCTCATAAATTTTATTTCTACAGAAAATTAAACGTAACATAAAAATTGTACTAAAATAAAACCAAAGCATATAACGTAGAAAATTAAGAAAAAAAAACTCCCACTAATCTAAGGCAATCTCAAAACCAAGACCCATATGAGCAACATGCCCATGAAAGATCTTAGGTGCTAAACTTTTGGTTAGTGGATCAACTAGCATCAAGTCTGTCCTTATATGTTCTATCATGATTTGTTTCTCCTGAACTATTTCTTTCACAACAAGATACTTGATATCGATTAATTTCAATTTTGTAGAACTCATATTGTTATTGGAGTAGAGCACAACTGCACTATTGTCACAATAAACCTTCAAAGGCCTTTCAATACTCCCAACAATGTGTAGGCTTGCGACAAAGTTCCACAGTCAAATTGCATGATTTGATGCCTCAAAGCAAGCCACAAACTCTGCTGCCATGTTGGAAGGAGTCACTAAAGTCTATTTGGAAGACTTCCAGGAGACGGCTCCTCTATCCAAGAGAAAGAGGTAATACGATGTGGAACGTCTGCTATCCGGGCATCCGGAAAAATCTAAGTCAGAATACCCAATGATCTCAAGTTATCTGACTTATGATATGTGAGGACGAAGTCTCTTGTTCTCTTTAGGTAGCACATTACACGCTTTATTGCTATTTAGTGCTGCATACCAGGGTTGCTTAGATATCTACCAAGAACTTCTACAATGAATGCTAAGTCGGGACAAGTGTAAACTTGATCATACATGAGACTTCTCACTGCTGAAGCATATGAAACCTTATGCATCTCTTTCCTTTCAAGATCCGTAGTAAGGAACTGTTTGAGACAAAACTTATCTCCTTTAACAACGGGTGTGTCTCCTAGTTTACTATCTTTCATGGAGAATCTATACAGAACTATATCAATCTACCTCCTTTGTGACAATCCTAAAATACCTTGAGTACGGTCTCTAAGGATTTGAATTCCTAAGATAAATGAGGTGTCCCCAAGATCTTTCATCTCAAATTTATTTGTGAGAAATCTCTTGATTTCGTGTAATAAGCCTATATTGTTGCTTGCCAAAAGGATATCATTCACATATAGTACCAAAAAAACGAATTTACTCCCACTAAACTTTTGGTATACACAGTTATCAACCGGATTATCCTCAAAACTAAATAAGGATATTACTTGATGGAATTTGTAATACCATTGACGAGAAGCCTGTTTAAGGCTATAGATGGATTTCTTGAGTTTGCAAACCATAGACTTTGGGTCTCCTGACACAAAGTTTTCTGGTTGCACCATATATATTGTCTCTTCAATGTTTCCATTTAAAAATGCAATCTTTACATCCATTTGATGCAACTCTAAATCAAAATGAGCTACCAATTCCATCATGATCTTAAGAGAGTCCTTCGAAGAAACTGGAGAGAAAGCCTATTTATAATCAATTCCTTCCTTTTGAGTAAAGCCTTTTGCAACAAGACGAGTTTTATATCTTCCAATGTTACCCTTTTAATCCCTTTTGGTTTTAAATATCCATTTACAACCAATGGATTTCATTCCTTCAGGTAATATAACGAGACCCCAAACATTATTGTCTACCATCGACTTCATCTCATCCTTCATGGAATCAACCCACTTAAGAGAGTTTGGACTCTGCACAGCTTGATTAAAATTAATAGGATCTTCCCCAGTCAAACCAATGACATCCTTACGTTCCTAAAGAAATACAACATAATCATCTGAAATTGCACTCTTCCTCTCTCTAGTGGATCTTCTTAATGGAGGCTCTTGAGGTTGTTAAGTTTGAAATATAGGTGGTGCTTGAGGAAGAAACTCAGTATTGTCTTGTTCTTGAGGGTTGTTAGGAATACCATCATTGTTTATTTCAGGATCTATTTCTAGAAAAAAGAAAGGTACAGAGACTTGATCATTTTGAGAAACAATTTCTTCATCAGAGACAACACTATTTATGCTTCCTTCCCCTCCAAACTCTACATCATCAAGAAATCTTGCATTTCCCATTTCAAAAATTGTTCTAGTGATAGGATTGTAAAACTTGTGCCCGTAAGAGTGTTCAACGTATCCAATAAAATAACAGTTAATTGTATTTGCATCCAACATACCTTCATGAGGCTTATAAGGCCTCACTTTAGCTGAACATCCTCAAATGTGCAAGTGTCTAATGCTGGGCTTTTTCCCAGTCCAGAGCTCATAAGAGGTCTCAGTTACTACTTTATTAGGTACTCTATTAAGAATATAAATTGCGGTCTTTAATGCTTCTCCCCAAAATGACTCTGGAAGAGAAGAATGACTAATCATACTTCTTACCATGTCCTTAAGAGTCCGGTTTTTTCGTTCTGCAACTTCATTCATGCTAGGTTTTCCCGGCATTGTGTATTGCAGAACAATTCCACACTCATTGAGGAAAATCGCAAAAGGCCCTGGACGTTGTTTCCCTGATACATCATACCGACCATAATATTCACCACCACGGTCAGATTTGACAAATTTTATTTCCTTTTCAAATTGAAGTTCGACTTCAGCTTTGAATGAGTTGAACACATCCAAAGATTGAGATTTCTCATGAACCAAATACAGGTAGCCATACCTCGAGTAATCATCTATGGACATAATAAAATACGGTTGTCCATTCCAAGAACCTGTAGGGAAAGGACCACATATATCTGTATGAATTAGTTCTAAGACATCCTTAGCTCTTTCAACATAGAAATTCCTTTTGTTTGTCTGCTTACCCTTGATACACTGAATGCAGACTTGAAAGTCCGATAAATTAAGGTATTTAAGAATATCGTCTGACATAAGCCTCTGAATTCTTTATTTAGGTATATGTCCTAATCGCTTATGCCATAAAGTGGCAGAACT